TTGAAATTTTCAAGCAACTGGTTAGAAGCAAAGATTAGTTATTGAGTCAGAGATCCTAGTTTGGCTAAGCTATACACCTAATAAACTGAACAACTGTAACACAGAAGACTTATGTGACGCCTCTCTTTGAACGAGTCCGATTATCTTTGAATCTTGAGTTCGATTATTTTTGAAGATAAATAGACAGTTACGTTAAAAATACACAGGCCTCGTTATAAATTGGCGCCCAACGTGGGGCCCCATTTATAACAAAATTGATATAATTATTTTTAGGGGTTGCCCTAAACTAACTTTGACGTGTTAGAAACTTATTGTCGTTATAAAAACCATTAACTGTTATAAATATTCAAAATTCTTTCAAGGTTACACACCAAAAGCTGAAACCCGACTATATTGTTCATTTTTGAGATTCGCTATCGATTGCTGTGGGTATGTGTTAAAAGTTCTTAGATTTTTACATGTAAATATATCGATCCTGTGCATATCTTTTTTAGATGTATGGTAGGGCTAGTATGTAATTTTATGTCTTGCAAATATGTATTTTATAAAAATTTGTAAGTATAGCGTATGTTTTATTATGATGTTACACCATGTCATTAATATCACTGTTATTGGAGAATAAGTAGAAAGCATTGGAATTAAGTGTATATTATAAATAAGCAGATTATATCAAAATTTACCGAAGAATAGATTACAAAGAAATACATTCCTGAAAATGTGTAATATAATTTTTAATTTTGGATTCAACACACTATAAGAATATTTTCATCTTTAAAAATATCATAGAAAGAACCTATGCATTCATAATCCCCCTCTCTTTATAACAGTTTCTGTTATTTTGGTAAAAAAATCAGTTTTTTTTAATAAATTGTGATTTTCTGAAAAAAAAATTGCAAAAAATATATCAGTTTATAAAGCAATTTATCATTTAATAATGATTTTATAATATTTATTTTTATTGCTTTGTCGAACATGGTGAACACCTAATAAAAGATACGCTACATCATTTTTTATTTAAAAATAGAAAACAACGTAAAAACAGTCTACTTTAAATATTTACTAATTTTTAACCATAATTTTTGGGATATTGGTGCTTTTATTTTCAGTTTCTTAGGCTAGTATTTTTACAAAATCAATTTATACAAGTTCAATGGGATAACTCTAGTTTTGTTTCTACTGTGCTGGTAACTTTTACTTTTACCGTGTGTGGAAGTAAATCGCATAGGGATCTTATTAAATTGGAGTGAGAGAAATGCAACGGTGTGCCGTTGCGGCGTTGTCACATTTCTCCGGTACGTCTTTCCTTATCGAGTAAAAAGTAAAGTAAAATCACAATCGCAAACCGCATATTTTTAAAAAACTTTTTTTTCGAAAAGATAGATAAAAATCATTAAATGTGTTTCTGAGCATCTGAAATGGAATTATAAGGATATCGTTAGGGTATCCATTTTTTATAACAAGAAAACGTCAGTAATCGTAATAATCTCAAGAACCACTTTAGATATTGAAACTTTTTTTTATTATTTTGAAGTTCGAATCTTTTACAAGATGTTTAAATAAGAAAAATTCGATAAGCTGTTTTTTAAGATATCTAGAAATATATTTTCTTTTAGAAATATTAAAAAAGTGTTTGAAAAAAAAACACAATCAATTTCTAATGGTTTTCGAGATACTGTCTGGGTGAAGAAAATATAGCAGAAATATTAAGAAAGTGTTTGAAAAACACAATCAATAATTTCTAATGGTTTTCGAGAGATCGACTTTGAATTCGAGAGTTCTAATAGCGCGACCACTGTCGAACACCAACCCAATTCCGCTTATTTTTACCAAAATGCAAGTGTTTCTAACTTGCACTTAAAAATTTACAAGCTATAGGGAAAATTACAACAACTCGTTAATAAACAAACAAATAAAGTATCACGAGACGTAATTAAATCGTGAAGATGAATGCATGATGACACCCTTACCCAAAATTTTAAGTACTGATTGGGTCAACCTGTCGACCGCGAAGAATCAGTTATATCCCTTCCACGTCTCTTAGCAATGTGCACAGTTTCTCGGTTTATTTCATACGTTTGGCAACGTTTTTACTGTTCTCTCTTTGTTCACTACATTATAAACACATTGTAGTCTCGATCCAAAACTAACCTTTGCCAGCCCTTAATATATTTTGTTATCGGTACAACAAATAAGTGCTGTGTGGATGAATGAAAATGTCGTCACAGTAAGCATAGTAACAATTTTCATTCGATTTTAACAGTGACGATGAGACCTCATCGTGAATTACTTATAGTACTTTATAAACATCAAAAGCCAATATGAAAACTAGTTACTTAAATACTTTATATTTTGACTTTCTATCAAATTTTTAATAGTGTGACGTCGTTTTCGTTCGATCTAGTGTATATCATTCAAATAAAACTAGAGAGATCCCAACTGTAAAATATTTTAGTCACTTGATAATGTGATATTTTTATTTTGTTAATTTCGCTTTACAATATCCTATAAATTTTATTGAGGACAAGCGTGCGTGAGTATCAAATGCTCAATACTAGTATTTTAGCTGTATCGTATGTTAATGTATAAAACGAGTATCTATACATTTGCAAATTATGAAATAAAGTATGTTTATTTCGAATTTGCAAAGAAATGATAATTGGGTAATGTAAAATGGTGTGAAACTACATTTCGTTCACAACATATCTAAATGGTATTTAAATCCTAGTTCTAGGCCAGTGTATTCTATTTTTATAATGTGCCTTAATTTTTTGTGTATATATAATACGATGTTAATTACAAAATTATGTTGATACTTTGCTGTGTTTTATTTATATTCTTTTATAAGGTTCTATTAAATATAGTTGGTTGTAGTTTTTTTTTTCGCAATAAGGATTAGGATCACTCTAGTCCTCTGCCGGAAACACTGCGACCTGTGAGGCCTATTGTGTTTGTCCCCTTTCTATATCTGCACCCATTCTCCTATCCCTGTGCCCTGCACTAACTTATGCAGGTCCTTGATAGGATGGCAACATAGTTCCTCCGGTTCTAGCTTAGCTTTCCCAAATAAAAAGTGTCGCTTGCGATCCAGAGCCTCGCAGTGACATATTATGTGCTCCGCTGTTTCAGGATCTTTATCGCAGAGTCTGCAGCAAAGACTTCCTTGATACAGGTTGAGCTTGTTCAGGTAACACTTGACAGCCATGTGTCCTGTCAAGAGACCTGTTGTAATCCGCAATTTATTCCTGCTAAGCATTAGCAGTTCTTTTGCGGTTTTAGAGCTAGGTCCTTGGATAATAGCGCAACCACTGTGTGCCTTGCTGTGCCTGTTTCTGTGTTTCCCTGAACAAGAGTTTTAGTGCACTATGGGCCATACATTTGGGTATTCCCAGTACTGACTCTGGACCAAGATAGGATGCCGATGATCCTTGCCTAGCTAGCTCATCGGCTTTTTCGTTGCCTTGGATGCCGCTGTGGTCCGGCACCCAGAATAATGTAATTCTGTTCCTTCGAGCCAGAGCTCCCAGTTCACCTAGACATTCCCAGACGAGTCTCGACGATACCTTTGGGCTCATAAGCGCCCCAAGTGCCGCCTGACTGAGCATATATTGATGAGGTTATCTGAATAAGCTCTTCTATTGTTTTCTCACGCACATTGTAGAATGGCGAAGATTTCTGTCTGGAATACGGTTGAGTGTTTACCCAAAGAAAAGGATAAACTTACCCTTGGTCTTTCCCCAAATACTCCAGCTCCTGTTCCTTCAACGGTCTTTGACCCGTCTGTATACCAGGTTAGTCCATCCTGAAGGAATGTTATATCTGTCCACATTCCTCGATCCATTTTGTTCACCTCGAATGGTTTGTGGTAGTGATAAAGAGGGGTCATTTGGTCCGATATCGTTTGGAGTAGAGGTCCCCCGATAGAATTTCCCATCTTTGAGTGTCCCGTTTCTGTCCTATTTCCCAGAGACAAGACACTTTGTTGTCGATAGGGTCCCATTCTTGCCTCAGCCTGGATCACTATGTGAAGAGGCGGAAGGTCCAGAAGCGCCTCCATTGATGCAGTGGGCGTTGATTTCATCGTCCCTGTTATGCTCAGACAGTCTTTGCACCCTTGCTGAGGCTGAGCATTGTTGTTTGTTGCATTACCTTAGGCCACCATACCAAGGATACATATGTTACTGAAGGCCTCACCACTCCAGTGTACAGCCAGTGCACCATCTGTGGTCTGAGGCCCCAGATTTTTCCATGAAGTCGTCTGACTACCGCTAGTGTAGTCACCGCCCTCCTTGTGACATTTTCCAAATGTCGGTTCCAGGTCAGTTTGGTATCAAGCGTGATTCCTAGATACTTGACCTTCCCCTAGAGAGGTATCTCATCACCGCAGAATCTTAGAGGGCGTAGTCCCTCAAGTAAGCGATAGTAGGTAAGTTCTGCGCTTGGTGAAGGGGATTATTACGGTCTTTGTACGACTAATATGTAGTCCCTCCCGTGTCACCCATGATTCCACAATCTTCAAGACCCTTTGCATTCGCTCCCTTACTGTTGTGTTAAACTTACCTCTAACTAACACGGCCAAATCGTCTACATATCCCAGAGTGTTGAAACCAGCCCAGAGAGAACTCCCCCCTGCGAGCATCCTCCCGCCACCCAGACTGCAACAGTCTCATTTAGTAGGGTGGTATATACCACTCGACTTTTGAGCATGCAGTCTATCCACCTACAGCAGGTCTCCCCTAATCCGAGGTTCCTTGTAGCTCTCGTCAGTGACTGAAATGAGGTGTTATCAAACGCCCCTTCTATGTCGAGGAATGCCCCTAAAAGCACTTCTCTTGTTTCGAACGTCGACTCCACTTAGTTAGTTGCAGTTACTTCTCAAGTAAATGTTCACGATGATTAAATAAAAGTAAGTCGTTTCTACCTAAACTTGGTTCAACAATATTCTTATCGAAACAGGCACTACTTAACAAGAAAAAAATGTTCCAAAATAAAACAAAGTTAAATAACAATAAACAAAGTTTTATTAGGTCGAATTAAAGTTTATAAAATCTAAGAGTTAAACAATCTGTTTATAGTGCTTTGTACATTAACTGAAAAAGTACACTGAATCTAAAACATTGTTTATATCAAAATCTCCAGTCGCAGGCAAGGTTCTCAGTAGTTTGTTGAGTTTTTTCTTTTGATAATCGGCCAAGGAACTTTCATCAGATAGTTCGCTAGAAGTAGAAAAAAAATTAGCATTTTCAAAATAATTTCACATTTTTTTTGTATTTTTACACGTACTGTAATTGTACAGAGCGATCCACAATGACTGAATATCGTATGATCGAAAAAAAACGGCGCCAAAGAGAATGACAATCGAGGATAAATTTGGCGAGGTCGATCTTCTAGACGTAATTTATTTGGCCTGTACTCTTCTTTATTTTTTAAGGGCACTTATACTGCCGCTTAGCTTAAGAAGGTTGTAATTTATTTTTCTATTGAGTATAAAATAATTTTTAAATGGTGTAGTTTAAAATTCGAGAAAATATATTTTTTACGGAAATAGATTTCTGTGTCTGGAAACGTTCTATCCTTTTTTAATCTCTCTATAATTAGTATTAATTTTTTTGAAGTTTTATGTCAGTCAAATGACGTCTAGATATTGACCTCGCCAAAATTATCATCGATTGTCATTCCCCAGCCGTATTTGACGCAGTTTTTTCTTCGATTATACGCTATATAATTAAGGTACTTAAATTGTGATATCTTACCTTTCCTCAAAACTGTAGTTATTATACATAGAAATAGATAAGTCTTCTAAAATTGGTTCAGAATGCAAAGCCACAAACTGTTCTCGACATATCTAGAAACAAAAGGTACAGTTACCCCCTGGACTTATACAAAGTAATTATATCCATTGCCGCAGATTCAAACATATTTTTAATAATGTGCAGGGTGGCGCCTCTTATACGCCGCGGAATTCCAATTTATTTATTTATTATTTATCTTCACAATATTAAGGTTGCCTACCCCTCAGGCAAAGATTTTCCTAGATATTTTAATTTTTATGATTTCGCGTCAGTAGATCTTTATTATTTGAAAAATCTAGATAGCTGTGTGATATATCTTTTGTTAATTTAACAAAAATTAACGATTGTAGAGTAAAAAAATTATTACAGAATTAAATCTAGATATAAACATATAATTATGTGACAAAAATTAGCTAGATGAAATCAAATGCTCAAAATGCTTCTTATCCTGTTAACTGCATAAAATGATTGTCTTTTCAAAAGGATTTTTTCATTTTAAAAGGCATTATGTGGAGTTCTACCTCGAAAAGCAGCTACAATAATTTCTCTCATGTTGTCGCCAATAGTTGGTCGAGTTTTGTAAACACAGTCTTTACCATATCCCCATAAAAAACCCCGGACTAGATAAAATCAGGAGCATTTAAGTATTCTATTAATTGGTGAATGCACACTGCATTCACCAACTAATAGAATCATATATCAATTCTTTCTGACGTAGGATAAGTTTGCATTTTCGGCAAATTTCTGAGATTTTTTTTGTTTTAACTGACACAAAATGATAACTAGTTGTTAAAGTTGGACTAATTAGACAGATATGTTGAAGTAACGTCAGACATATCACAGCCACCTAGATTTTATCAAATAATAAAGATCTGCTCAGATCAAATCGTGTAAATGAAAATATATCTAGGAAAATCTTTGTTTCAGGGGTAGGCAACCTTAATAGTATTTTGAAGAGAAATGAATTATCCATTGAATATCGGAATAATATACTGGGTGTTCCATTTAAAATAAAAGAGTAACATGCCTTTAAAGGTGACCAATGTTCAATATTAATTTTGTCTCACCCTGTATAACTTTTTGGATCAAGTTCTAATTTGATTTAAAGTACAATACTACAATAGTATAATAATTCAACTACATACTAGGCTATACCGGGTAAATTTCAAATTAGATAGTTTTTATTGTAATTTAAAAATTGTTCTCTACAATTCTTCTCACAAATCTTCATCTCAATACAAACTGTCGTTCTCGTTGGAGCCTCCGCGATGTATGAGAGGCGCCACCCTATTATTATTTTTCTTAGAGAATCCTAAAACTTACTTTATTCATTATGTGAATGGTGGATGGGTGCGTCCAATAGCAGTCGTGTACAGAAACAAAGGTAACTCCCGCCCTTTCGCAGTGCAGAGAAGTTAACATCATGTGACTAGAATCCAAAGAGTGAATAAAATTCGGTGGAAATGCATTTTTCTGTTTGACTACGTTCGGTTTCCTGAAATTAAATAGTTTCTTGTCACTATAGTACGAGAGCTAGCAACGTCGGAAAAACAAGTATTTTAAGACGTCTGGCTCTTTGATATATCTTTTACTATGCTCTCTAGAACAGCATGCGGTCCATCTGGCTGCCGTTGGGTTCCCTACTGCACGTTGGGGTAAACGTTGGGTTCCCTACTGCGCATTGAAAGAAGATCCTATATTTTATTAGTCCTTTAAATTCTAGTATTGAATATAAATCGAACATGCCGCCATAGCGCAGTGCGTGTTTCCGACCACGAACCGATTATTCAGAGTTCGAATCCCGGTCAGGGCATAGATTTTTTTATTTTATTTTCGTTTATATTCTGATAGTAAAGTATTAAATATTTGTTTTTTTTAATTATCATAATTATTTAATATTTTAGTATCAGAATACAAACATATACAGGGTGTTTCAAAACAAATGCGAAAAACTTCAGGGGGTGATTCCTTGTTCAAAATAAAGGGTAGTTTGCTTTATAAACGTTGGGTCAAAAGTCAACCATTAGGGAGATATCGCGGTACAAAGATGGCGGAAAAATAATGTTTTTATTCTTTATCTTGAAAACGAAAAACGATAGACTAATGAAATTTTATGGAAGCATTACTGTTATGAAAACATACTTTCTGGTAATTTTCTCACTTTTTTAAAATGAGTGGAAGGTGTTGAAATAAACTACCTCTATCATTCTTGTTAACAAAATTTAAAAAAAAGCTAATCAAACACATGCAAAAAAATTAATTTGGATAGTTTAATTTGATTAGAAACTTTTTTATCTCTTGTGTTTTTTTGATAAAGCTCACCGATTTGAAATTAAAAAATAAAATGTAAAGCATTACATATCAGGACAAAAAACATTTTTAGATAAAGAATCTAATAGGCTGCTCTAATTTTTTTAGGAAAAAATCTAGTCGGCCGCTGTCACTTTTTAGGATGTTTCTAATATTATTTTATTGACATTACTCTACTGCAATACGTTATTATCTAGATTCTTATTATTACCATTATTATCACTAGATTCTTTATCTAAAATGTTTTTGATCCTGACATGTAATGCTTTACATGTTATTTTTTAATTTCAAATCGGCGAGTTTTATCAAAGAAACACAAGAGATAAAAAAGTTTCTAAATAAACCAAGCTATCCAAATCAATTTTTTTGCATGTATTTGATAAGATTTTTCTTTAAATTTCGTTAACAAGAATGATAAGGGTAGTTTATTTCAGCTTTTTTTCACTTAAAAAAGTGAAAAAATTACCAGAAAGTGTGTTTTCATAACAGTAATGCTCCCATAAAATTTCATTAGACTATCTATTTTCGTTTTCAAGATAAAAAATAAAATCATTATTTTTCCGCCATCTTTGTACCGCGATATCTCCCTAATGGTTGACTTTTGACCCAACGTTTATGAAGCAAACTACCCTTTATTTTGAACAAGGAATCGCCCCCTGAAGTTTTTCGCATTTGTTTTGAAACACCCTGTATAACAAAATAAAATAAAGAAGTTTTTGACCTTACCAGGATTCGAACTCTGAATCATCTTTCGATGCGCAGTAGTGAACGCAACGGGTATCGGCAGCCAGACGGGCCGCATGCTGTTCCAGAGAGCCTAGTAAATGATATATCAAAGAGCCAGACGTCTTAAAATACTTTCTCGAAAACGTTGCTAGCTCTTAGACTACTATCTTAAAAAGTATAATAATCTAATCCTAACCCAACCTAAGCAAAACCAGCACAAAACAAAATTATTAAAAATATATTCCTATACCGGGTGTTGCATCGTCGTTGGGAACATAGGAAATCCCATGCAAAATTTGAACTGTCCAGATATTGGCTCCCCTATGGATTTTATAGCGAAGTCGTAAATAGACTTTTTAAAGGTCTACATTTCGTAAACACACATGCCAAATTTGAACAATTTTGGACAAACGATTTTAGGTAATTTGAGAACAACTTAATCGATTTTTAAATTAAAACTGAATAGGTAACAATCAAACACCAGTCAAAAACCAACATTCCTTAAGTTGTGAGCGTCATTTTCAAACGTAACTTAATTTTAGTAAAATTTTAATATTCAGTACAAGTAATAATTTATTGTTATACACATAAAGAAAAAGTGAACATGATAAAATACGCGGGAAATAGATTAGACTTGGATTAGACAGTGTATCTGGCATGTTTCAGTTAATTTTCCCTAAATATTAAAATTGCATTAAAATTACTTTTGACCATAGATAAATAAAACAAGTTTAGATTGGAAAGTGCCCATAAGGACAATGTAAACACTATTTGGTGCTATTCTTGCAACGGTCGCGACCCAAAACTTTTGAAAATTTCGGAGCGGTTCGGCTTTTTCCGGAGTTATATC